CCTTAGCTCGAAGGTGTTTAGTCTAGCTTTCTGGGTCAGCACACCTAGCTCCCCAGATTAAGTGCCTGGTGGCAACTCACTCTGCCAGCACATCTCCCTCCTAAAGACACTTGGATTTACTCATTCCAGGCCTAGGAAATCCACCACTCTGCTCTTTGCTCTTGGTTCCATTGATGATCCAACCTCTCTATCACGTCTTTTCCATCTCTTGCCATTTGCGGGGTTACAGCTCTGTCTTCTGGAGTGAAAAGGCTCAACTCTCAGGGATCCCAGGCTCCAAAGGATGCACTCCTGCTTCTTTTTTTCCCTGACAGTTTTATTGGCATGTAATTCACACATGATACAATTCAGTCTTCATTCATATCAAGAAGAGTTGTGCAATCATCACCACAGTCCGTTTTAGAACATTTTCTTCATTCTTGTACTCATTACTATTCATGCCTCATTTTTCCCCAACCTCCCTACCGTACTCTTAAGGCACTATTAATCCAGCTAATATCTTTACAGATTTGCCTAACCTGGATTTCACATACAGAAAAATATTGTAAAAAAATAAATAAGTAAAAAGTCACAGCAAAAACAAATTAAAACAGGTAAAAACCTCAATCAAAAAGAAAGAGGGGTAAGAGGTGGCAGGTGCCTTGTCGGGCCACCAAGGTGGCATGTAGAAGCCCCTTGTAACAACCCAAGAAGTAGACCAAGGAAATGGACAAGGAAGATAAGGCTTTTCCACCACAAAATGAAAGAAGAGCAGAAGAAATTCAAGGGGCTAAAAGCAAAGGCCTCGGGGAAGGACCCCTGGCCACAGGTGGAATTAAGAAATCTGCCTCCATTGCCCCTCACCCATTTTCCCGTTGTTCGTCCGCTGGAAAGGGGTTATAGATTGATCCTTGTGATCAATTCCCCCATTGTCCCCCCACCTCCCCTAATCCTCCTGATATCCCTACTCTCATTGTTGGCCCTGAGGGGGTTATCTATCCTAGAATTCCCTGTGTTGTGGGCTCTTGTCTGTAGCAGTGTGCATGTTCTTGTCTAATCCGATTTGTAATTTAGAATTAAGGTCATGATAGTGGGGGCAAGGAA